AAAATCACACACACATAAAAAAAAAAAGAAAATCAAGAAAAAAAAGTAGTCAATTAGCAAGCCACTATTACATGGACTTGATCATAGGCCACGTCATAGGCCACGGCTCCTCCGGCGCCGTGGTCTCCACCGCCACCTCCATATCCTCCGGCGAGATCCTCGCCGTCAAATCCGCCGACCTCCGGCGATCGCAAGCCTTACGGAGGGAGGAAAAAATCCTCTCCACCCTCAACCACCCGAACATAATCGGCCACCGCGGATGCCACGTCAGCATCGAGGGACGAAGACCCGTTTTCCGCCTCGTCATGGAATACGCGCCAGGCGGCACGCTGGCCGACGCCAGTTCGCTCGACGAGCCCACGATCGCCCGCCATGCGCGCGCCATCGTGGACGGGCTCGATTATCTCCACTCCCGAGGCATCGTGCATTGCGACATTAAGGGTAGCAACGTGTTGATTAAGGATGGTGAGGCGAAAATCGCGGATTTCGGCTGCGCCAAGCTGGCGGATGACGTGGTGGCGGTGATTGGCGGCACGCCGCTCTACATGTCGCCGGAAGTTGTTCGTGGGGAGGAGCAGAGTTTTGCGGCGGATGTGTGGGCGCTCGGGTGCACGGTTATCGAGATGGCCACCGGAGGACGGCCGCCGTGGCGGCCGAATGATGCTTCGACGCTTGCGAAGATTGCGTTTTCCGGCGAGACGCCGGAGGTGCCGGAGTTCTTGTCGGGCTCGGCTAGGGATTTTATCGGGAGGTGTTTGAGGGTCGACCCAAGAGAGAGGTGGACGGCTGGAAAGCTGGCGGGGCATCCGTTTGTGGCTGCGTTTGGGTTTGGGTTCGGGCAGGCGAAGGAGGTGACGGGCAGAACGTGTTCGCCAACTAGTGTTCTTGACCGGGGGATTTGGGGCTCGGCTGAAGAAGGATTTTCGGAAGATTTGTCGAGTGAGCCGGTGGAGAGGATAAGGGAGCTGTGTGTGGAGTCTTTTGTAAAGGAGGATTGGGAGTGTGAAGAGGGATGGATAACAGTTAGAGATTGTGAAAATGTGAGGAAAATTGGTGGAATTAAGTGTGGGGATGAGTTTAGAGAGTGGAGTTTTGAATTTTGTGGGAATTTTAGTTTACAGAGGGAAACAGGGGAGAACAGAGGAGTTAGATGAAATTCCAATTTTTTGTAAAGTTTTTTAATCAGACTTTTAATAGTTAGAATTTTGTGTATTTTTTGTATCTCATATGTTATTCATGGAAGACTTGCTACAAACACTAATGAATTTGATAAATAATGTGATAACATATGCAAATGAAGGTAATCTTGTGCCTAATTTGAATCCTTCTTTGTTCATGACCGTAGCTTGCTCTTGGATAGGGTTGCAAATGAATCGAGCGGCTCGCGAGCGTTCAAGGCAGTTCTCGACTCGAGTTCGTGGTTGTAGTTGATAAGTTCGAGTGCTCGACAAGTCACTCGAATATACATAAAATTATCCTAATACTCCTAACTAAGACATTTTGTTATCCAAATTACGAGACGAAATAAAGCAAATTTCAAGTTAATCTCAAGCATTTGCCTTTTTTTGTTGAGTCTAGCATAGCATAAAGCTGTTCAACTTTGTCGAACTCTAGTTCTTGTAGTAGTAAAAAAAATTGAGCCTAGCTCGATAAGGTCGACCCAACTCGTTTGCAATCCAATACACAAACCCGAGATAAAGGGTTGTGCCTCCTCTTTTGACGATGGATACATATCAACATCGGATTTGTCAAAACTGTTATAATAAAGGATATAAAAAACAGAAATTCGCACCATTTCCAAGCCTACCAGTGCTAGACCTTTGAAACCTACTGAGACTAAATAATTCAGCCAACTACACCATTAGTGTAATCTATAACTATTAACTACTTTTTGACATGCTTTTGAAATCGTCACTCTAAAGGTTGTTCTAAAGATCAACTGTAGAATGTCTAATGTGGGATATGATTAGATGCTTGAAATGAAACAGCCCAACAGCCATAGCTTTGATATTTGTCAAAATAATTGATCCCATTTGTGACATCATCTTCAGGTCATATGAAGTCATTCTCCAAGAGTTCATAAAATAATGCAGTGATGGCAAATAAGATGAATATAGCATAATAGAACAATTGAAACCATTAAATCCAGAGTGAATTATGTTCGAGGAAAATGTATTCTAATGATTGGATCAAGTTTTGCAACCATCCTCTCCACTATCAACATATTAACATGAAACCGGCTAATTATAACATACTCTATCGCCACTCAAATGTAATTTGTTTGTCAGAAATTTCAGGACTGAATAAATTTTCGGAGTAATGGAAACTGAGAATATGGGAACTCAATGTCTTTGAGTTAATGATGTTGTACAAAATTAGCTACTAACATCAAATTTCATTTTCTAGTATTGGACATAAGTTACAAAAAATGTAGCGTTCTTGTTGTATATGTACAGAGCACAAGAACCCTACTTTTTTTTTGCTGGAATTAAGTGCAGCAAGTTAATTTGTTCGTAACAGACGAACAGACTTAATCTAAAGGACCTAAGAGCACACGAGCAGACTTGATCTAAAGTATGTGATTGGTAGCTTAGCTAAATACACTGAAACTCAAGGTTAGTTCAACTTTTCTTGGGAAATGGAAGGTCAGGGCAATACATAAAGACACATGAATCTTGTTGGACAGACTCTTGGCAAACCCTTTTAGCCTCAATTATAAATAGCCTTTATGCTTTAAATCTTCATGCTCACATGAACTTGAGACAAAAGATAAATCCTCTCTGAGACTCTGACACCCCAAATCAAGTTACAACAATGTCTGCCTCTAAGGATGTCCAGTTTGCTTTGAAAGTCATGATAAATAAAGAGAAAACCAAGGTACTCTTTGCAGAGGCCGACAGTGATTTTTTCAACGTACTGTTAAGCTTCCTGACATTGCCACTGGGAAAGATCGCGAAAATCCTTGTGGAACACTATAGAGACCACACACCATTGGCAGTCGGTAGCTTGAGCTCTTTGTACAATGGTCTTGCTAATCTTAATGTTGTCCATTTTCATACACAGACAGGAAAACAAATGCTGCTAAACCCGAGTAGCATTATTTATAAAGAATGCCATAAGCTGAAGCTGAATCTTAGTGATTCAAAGCCCACCAAGTACTTTACATGCGGACAATCGTCCAGTGGGGAGCACAATTTCAGCATGTACTATGATAGTGTTAGATGTGATTGTGGGACTACAATGAGAACAGAAACAAAATTTAAATCATCTGAGGCTGCTGAAGATGGCGATGATCAAGCTTTTTGCACGAAAGGTGCTTCCTTCATAATCGGTGATGATATGCGACTGGCTCCTAATGTGGTGGGGTCGGTGTTGAGGACTCTAGCGGAACTTGGTATTAGTGACACCAAAGGGACTGAGATGAGGAATGTGACGTTCGGATATAATGAGGTAAGTCTTGATTCTATTGTACAACTTTCTGAAATTATGTATCTGCTAAATTCATTACTTGGATTTTTGCAATTAGCTATGGGCCAAATGATTTCCGGACCGATGTTGAAAATGTAATGAGACCCGACAACTGAAGTAGGGGAAGACTGGAATGTTCAACAAATAACTAAAAGTGCATTTTGTTAATTACAACCGAATGGTGAAGAAAATCGAGGGACTGATTGATTTTTGTTACTGTTGTCTTTGTTTTTTGAACTAGATTATATATTTGCTGAGAGGCATGTTCGTGTCACGGACTCCTTTGACCGATGCCATAATCGGCAAAGCTCAAACTAACTCTCGAGTTTTCATCCCCAAGACAGAGGAAGCAACTGTTTCCAACTGTGAGAAGAAGATGATATTGAATGTCATGCTACAAAAATCTACGCAAAAGTTAATATTTGCGCAAGCCAAGGATGATTTTGCCAATTTTCTCTTTAGTTTGCTCACGATCCCACTCGGTGGCGCTTTGTCACTTCTGGGGACCAACACTGGTGTTACGTGTTTAGACAATTTCTACACGAGTGTACAAAATATTAATGGTGATGAGTACTGGGAGACTAAAGATACAAAGACCAAATTACGGCATACGCAACTACCTATCGGATATATGTCCCCAAACCAACTTCTCCCTCTAACTGAAGGAGGATTTCCTGAACTTCATTATATTAGACCCTCTACATGTTATCAGTGTAATGGTTATTTGTCTCCAACCGTTACAAATAGAACGTCCGATTTGGTTCGTCTCAAGTCTCCAAAAGGCAATGGGAATTACGTGAAGGGGTCAACAATGTATATGGTGACCGATGATTTAACCGTCACTCCATTGTGTGTCACCTCAAGCCTTTCTACTTTGGACCAGCTTGGAATACCGTTGTCTGATGTCGAAGAATTGGAGCTTAACGTTGGATTGGAAGAGGTAACTAAGATAAACATTATATCACGTGTTCATTTCGATTGTTCGATTTGTTTTCATGTTTAGATTTTCTNGATTGTTTTCATGATAAGAGATTTTTTATTTTTTTTTTGTCAGTTACTTGATTTTGTTCTTATCTCTACTGTAGGCTCTGAGCATTTTGAAGGCTTCTCTGGCCTCGACTTCAGCGCTGACCGATGGTCTATTCGGACCGTCGTTACGAAAGTGTGTGAAACAAGAACGGTGAGGCCAAAGTCTGGAGGTTCCTGCATTAGTGTTTGTTGTTCCTAATCAGTGCTACACTTCTTGTTATCTATGTTTTTTCCTCATAATTAAGTGAAACTGTGTCTGGTTTGGTTTGGTCTATGAAATTATGACAAAATTTGATTTTCGGTCCATTAAGTTGTTCTCTGTTCAAAATTTTGGTTTGAACCTCTAATACCTTATTTTGTTAATAATGATGAAAACAGTTATATAGAGACGTAAATGTGGTCTCCGGCATGATACACATTCTTCTTCTGTTTCCTGAGTTTTTCTTTGTAGAATTTACTATTTCCTGATGCAATGGGTGAGAAGAATACGTGAGTCACTGTATTTTCAGCCAATAATGATGACAAAAAGAAATTTAACTACAACAAACAAATATGCAAATGCAAAGTGAACCTTGCTTTGTGCATCCAGTCCAACGTGTTAAATAACATAAACAGAAAATCTTACCTAAACTATTAGATGTTCGCACGAGTTTCAAATTTGAAAATTCATAAAACAGGAAAATTTGTTGCATCTTTTACAAGGATTTCAAGTTCCCTTTGGAATTTACAGTCACGCTAAACAAAAAGAAAAACATGGTAATGTTTGGCCAACATCGAATTTGCAGAGGTATTTTATAAGTTTCTCATGTAGCGTTCAAGTCAATGCTCGACTCGAGTTCGAGCTTGTAGTTGATAAGTATATATATGTATATATATACTTCTTTATAAAAATACATATATATGTTATGCAAAGTCATATTTTCTTTATGTTATCATTTAAAACTAGTACAGTCCTCGTGCGATGCACGGAGGTTTATTATCTCGGTCTCTTTTATAAAGCAATGTTCAGTTAAAATTCAAAATACTTCCTAAATGAAAGATCATGCCATTAATAATAAATAAATTACTAAATACAATGATAATAAAATTTATATATTATTGAACACTTCCTTATATACAACGTTCATGGATTGATTCTTTGGCACGTCATCGTCGCCACAAATTAGGACTTTCAAATCATTTCTGTTTGTGACACGGGAGACAGCAACATACAATTGGTCATGACTAAACACTGGTTTCTTAAAAAATAAGCCCACATGCGACAATGATTGTTCCTGACTCTTATTTATAGTCATGGCGTAAGAAAACATAATGGGAAACAATCAATCCAATAACATCTACAAAAATGTAAGAAAATGCATCATATTGAAATGTATAACATATAAAATTATTACAGATTTTAAATTTTAAAAAAATCGAAATAAGAAATAAACAAAAAAATTATAACGTACCAAATAATATGGCTTCATCAATGTTACGAACATTCATTAAAGTTAGAAAGTTCCTAAAATCAAAACGATACATAGGAAAATCACCCCTTTATTTGATAATCACCCCTCCATTTGATAATCTTGGTTTGACCATTGATAATGATTCTCCTTTTTCCTATCGTCGATTTATGGATGTCAATATTGCTTTCCACTTGATAGTTTGTCAAGATATAAGCGCCACCTTCTTCAATATCACCGATGATTTTTTTGATATTGACAGGTCGAATTATGTCAGTAATTCGTCCTCCCTAAAACATTTCATAATGAATAATTCAATAAATAAATTATAAAAGATGTTGCATAAAATGATGCATTTAAATAATAATAAAAGAATATATTACCTCAAAATCATGAAAGATAATCTCAAGAACATTTCGGTAATTGCGTACGACTTCAACTCGTTGGAACATCCTAATTATGCGTAGCTTGATTGGTGGCTTATTAGATCTTTTGATATCCTTGATTACTCCGAAATTCGAAGTCATTTTCAATGGTGATGTAAAAGCTTGTAGAAAAAATTATTTTGTGGGATGCATTGGATGTCGAATACTTTTTGTTCAACGTTGGTGATGTTTACATAGTCATGTGTATGTGTCATGTGTCTGGGAAATAAAAAAATATTTTCGTAAGGTACTTAATATGATCCAATCCGATTTTTTTTATTATGATTATGATTGACTTCTAAAAATATGTGTTATCGGTTTTGTTAAAAAAAAATGTGGAACGTGATTCACTTGTGAGGGGCGAACGAATATTTAGAAGATTATGTAGCCAAAAATAATAGAGTTTGTTACAATGAAATTTGGTAAGACTTTTTGGATAGATTGAAAAATAATATTTTTATTTTGATTTGGACAAATCCAAAACTTTAATTTACGAAATTATAATCTTTAATTTTTTGAAACGTGTAAAATTTTCTAAGATAACTTTTATAAAACAAAATGTGAACAAATCATAATTGATTTTTATGCCTCAATATTCCAAATCAAACCTTACAAATATGGTATGATTATTTACTATTAATATTTTATTTTTTCAAACGTCTGATTCTCTTAGGTTTATATGAAACAAAGTTCAATCAAATTAAAATTGATTTTTATGTCCACACTAAAACTTTATCAATATGATATGTTTATTTTTATTTATTTTTTTCAAATCCACAACTCAAATTTTCGAGAGAGAGAAGAAAAAAGGAAACAAACTCTTATCAAACCTTATCAAATTTTCGAGAGAGGAAATAAAAAACAAAAAAAATTGGAAACAAAATCTTATCAAACCTTATCAATAATGAAGATACGTGTTTCCAAGAAAAGCTAACAAAATCCCGTGGTTACCAAAATCCTATCAAATTAGTTAACAAAATCCCATTAAATTGGTTAACAATATTGGAACGCATTTTGTTAGGAAAGATTTACGTAATTTATCTATCTAATTAATATCATATTAACGTGTGGGTCCAGTGATATTAATTTAGTATAGCATCCATTATCTCGGAATAATTTTTTGTTTGATTTGCAACATTAACTTGAATGGAAAAAAATTTGTAATTGTTGAGATATCTCCATTTTTTGGCATAAGAATCTTCAAATTTGTTACCGATAAAAATAGATTCATATGGGATTATTACTTAAAATGAATTAAATTTTTGTATAAGAATCTTCAAATTTGTTACCATAAGAATCTTCAATTTGTTACCATAAGAATCCCATAAAAATCTCCTATGGATTGGAGTTTATCAATATATAGTATAGCATCCATTATTCTCGGAATAATTTTTTGTTTGATTTACAACATGAATTTGAAGGGGAAAAAATCCGAAATTGTTAGGATAACTCAATTCAAAATCTCAATTTTTTGGCGTAAGAATCTCCAATTTGTTACCATAAGAATCCCATAGAAATCTCTTATGGGATTGGAGTATATCAATATTTGGTATAACATCCATCATTATTTTTGGAATAATTTATTGTTTGATTTACAACATTAATTTGAATGGGAAAAAAATCCGTAATTGTTGGAATATCTCAATTCAAAATCTCAATTTTTTGACATAACAATCTTCAAATTTGTTATCAATAAAAGTAGATTCCTATAGGATTATTAAATTTTAGTATAGGAATCTTCAAATTTGTTACCATAAAAATCTCCAATTTTTTTTGGGATATCTCAATTAAATTTGTTACCCTAAAAATCTACAAATTTGTTACCATAAAAATCTCAATTTTTTTGGTACATGTGTTTTTTCCGAAATTTCCACTAATAGTAAGTCAAACCATTTATTTTTTTAGTCAAACTTACTATAAAAGTATTTTTCCAACAACCTCTTTATATTACTATAGATATAACATTTTAGTATAAAAATAAAAATATCTATTGAAAAGTATGACATTTCACAATGTAAATGTACTATTTGAGAACAATTTTAGGTCGATCCGCCTAATTGTTGGCCGACTCAAATGAGAATTTGTATTGAAACTTGAAAATGTACAATGGACTTGTGATTAAAAGCAGTCTTTAATGACTTCAGGTTGAAAACACAAAACATTGGGATCTAAATGCACTGAAAGTCAAGGTTAGTTCAACTTTCCTTGGGAAATGGAAGGTCATGGTAATGCATAAAGACTCAGGAATCTTGTGGGACAGACTCTTGGACAACCTTTTTTCGCCATATAAATAGCTTTCATGCATGAAATCTTCGTGCTCACATGACCCTGAGACAAACAACCAAATTAAGATACAACAATGTCTGCCTCTAAGGATGTCCAGTTTACTTTGAAAGTCATGATAAATAAAGATAAAACTAAGGTCCTCTTTGCAGAAGCCGACAGCGATTTTACCGACGTACTGTTAAGCTTCTTGACATTGCCATTGGGAAAGATCGCAAAAATCCTCGTGGAACATTATGGAGATGACACACCGGCAGTCTGTAGCTTGACCGCGATTTTTGTTTCTGTTGTCTTTGCTCTTTGAACTAGATTATAGATTTGCTGAGAGGCATGTTCGTGTCACGGACTCCTTTGACCGATGTCACAATCGGCAAAGCTCAAACTAACTCTGGAGTCTTCATACCAAAGACAGTTGGCAAAGCTCATCAAAGTAACTCTGGAGTTTTCACAACAAAGACAGAGGAAGCAACTGTTTCCAACTCCGAGAAGATGATGATATTGACTGTCATGCTACAAAAATCTACACAAAAGTTTCTTTTTGCGCAAGCAAAGGATGGTTTTGCCGATTTTCTCTTTAGTTTGCTCACAATCCCACTCGGTGGAGCTTTGTCACTTCTGGGGACCAGCACTGGTGTGACAAGTTTAGACAATTTCTACATGAGTGTAGAAAATATTAATGGTGACGAGTACTTGAAGACTAACGGTACAAAGACCAAATTACAGAAAACCCAACTACCTATTGGATATATGTCCCCAAACCACCTTTTCTCTCTAACAGAAGGAGGATTTCCTAAACTTCATTTTGCTGGAGGCACTGGAATTCCTGGGCATATTGATTATTTGTCTCCTTCAACTGTGACATATAGAGCGTATCCTTCTTTGAAACATGCAACATATAAAACGTCCAATTTGCTTTGTCTCAAATCTCCAAAAGGCAATGGGAATTATGTGAAGGGGCCAACAATGTATATGGTGACAGATAATTTAACCGTGATTCCGTTGTGCGTCACCTCAAGCCTTTCTACTTTGGAACGGCTGGGAATCCTGTTGTCTGATGTGGAAGAATTGGAGCTTAACATTGGATTGGAAGAGGTAACTACGACAAGACATTATATCGCGTGTTCATTTCGATTATTAGATTGTTTTCATGATAAGAGATTTTTTATTTTTTTTTTGTCAGTTACTTGATTTTGTTCTTATCTCTACTGTAGGCTCTAAGCATTTTGAAGGCATCTCTTACCTCGACTTCGGCCCTGACCAATGCCCTTTTTGGTCCATCACAAAAAAAGCAATCACCGAAAAAGCGTGTGAAAAAAGAACACTGAGGCCAATGCCAATGGTTCCTGCATTAGTGTTTTCCTGATGATTGTTGTTCCTAATAAGTACTACAGTTCTGATGATCTACGTTTTTTCCCTCATGATTAAGTATGTTTGGTTTGGTTTGGGTTATAAAATTGTGACAAAAATTTCATCTCTGGTCTACTAAGATTGCTCTATTCAAAATTTAGTTTGAACTTGTAATTCTTTATATTCAACTTCTTATTCTTTATATTGTTGAGTTCTTCAGTAATAGTACAGTTTAACATATTTTAGTTCACCGTGCAGTACATCAATGATGACAAAATATGTATATGTAGGGACATAAGTTTCTTTATCCAGCATAAACTACAACAAATTAAAATGCAAATTAATGCAAAATGAACCTTGCTCATGCATACAATTCAATGCTTTATTTAGCGTCTGCAAAAATCTGATCTAAACTATCATATGTTCACAAGAGTTTCATCAGGTTTAAAAAAGACATCAAAACAGGGAAACTTATAGCTTCTGTTTTAAAGATTTCAAGTTCCTCTTAAAGTCAAGTCATGCCCTGTCAAATCTCAAATACATCTTGCATTTAGTGTTAATATGTTTGCAATGCATTTGTGTTCTGAACATAATACTAGCCGAGGTGAACATATCATTATATTTACATCTGTTGCGAACCAGAGGAGTTGGATGAAATTCCAATTTTTGTAAAGTTTTTTAATTAGACTTTTAACAGTTCAAATTTTGTATATTTTTTGTTTCTCATATGTTATCCATGGAACACTTGTTACAAACACTATGATTTTGATAAACAATGTAAAAATATATCTTACATTAGCTCATTTGTACCATGATTGCTTAGTAAAAATCATGGCTCAGCAAATGTAGGTAATCTTGTGCCTAATGACCCTTTCTTTGTTGAGAATACAGCTGAAATTGAATCTCCTTGAATCATATTTCTTAATCTTTTCATTCTCTTTCTCACGTAGCTTGCTCTTCGATCGGGTTGCAAACAAATAGAGCGGCTCACGAGCGCTCAAGTCAATGCTCGACTCGAGATCGAGCTTGTAGTTTATAAGTTCGAGTGCTTGACAAGTCACTTGAATATACGTAAACTGGATTGTGCCTCCTATTTTGATGATGGATACATATCAACATCGGATTTTTCAAAACTGATATAATAAAGGAAATAAAACAGAAATTCACACCATTCCAAGCCTACCAGTGCTAGACCTATGAAACCTACTGGGACTAAATAATTCAGCCAACTACACCATTAGTGTAATGTAATCTATAACTATAATTACTCTTTGACATGCTTTTGAAATCGTCAATCTAAAGGTTGTTCTAAAGATCAACTGTAGAATGTCTAATGTGGGATATGATTAGATGCATGAAATGACAAATTTTCAGGTCACATAATTTTAATAATCATAACATAACTTCATTTGTCACATAATTGATCCCATTTGTGACATCATCTTCATTCTTCAGGTCATATGAAGTCATTCTCAAAGAGTACAAAACTCATCGTCATTATAATTTTCTTTTTTTCGAACCATAGAGTTTATAGATAAAACACATATAAAACTAGGTAACAGTCAGTACAGCTGACTGAGCAGCTACACAACTGAACTACACAAAGGTAGTGTTGTGTGGCCCGTCCCAGTCGCACCGCTCTCGTCATTGGCAGCGGAAGCTTCGTCTTGAACTCGACCGACAGAGGTGCTGCTCGTCTACAGGCCACCCGGACAGCCCTCTTTCAGGCCCGGGCTGGTTCACGTGTTCTCTTAAAGGGCCCGTTTCAGTCCCGATTCAGCCACCGGGCTCCCGAACCTTCTGTTCTGTCCCGGGCTGATCCCAGCCACTCCTTTCGTGCCCGTTTTCAACCTGCAATTCAAACACACTATTAAGTCCTAATCACAGCAATGATAAACGGGAAAAATACAAGGAATAATGTGCTGAAATTGGAAATAAAAGAGAAAGAACAAATCTCCCTTTCGTTCGCCGGAAGAGAATGGAAGACACGAAGTCACCCGGCTCAGATAGCCCTTCCTCCCGGAACCCTCGGCACAGTTGCGGCTCGGTGGTGGTCAATGAACGGCAACCCCTGTTTCTCAACACCCGGTTACCCCGTCACCTATGCTCACGTCTCACAAAAGGGACTCGCCTGGAAGCCCAAATAGCTCTAGCCGGCAATTGGAGCTCGGCGACGGAGCAACGGCACAACGGTGGCTCTCACAAAGGCTCTCACGGTGTCACTCACACACTCTGAAGGTCACGAAGAAACAGAGAAGAAGAGAGTGAAAGATTGCTATCGGGTTTTCTCAGACATAGAAATAAGGCGCAGCGATAGAGGAGAGAGAGAGAGAGTCTTTGTTATCTAGTAGGCGGAGAGAGAGAGGTTATTAGGCTCAGTTTGGTTGGCTGGATTGGGATGGATCCATTTCATACTATTTCACTCTTATTATATGTTTGGTTGAAACAAGCAAAGCCTTTGAAAAGGACCATGCCCGATATTTAATCAAGCCATTTCATTATACCATATCCCACCTTTTAAGTGGGATGTGTAATCCTTCACAACTTAGCCTTTAAATTTCCATAGATACCCCTTTATTTCTTATGTCAATCTATCGACCTAAAATCAGTAAACCACCATATTCACAAGGAACTCATACGAGCTCCGGCGAGAATTCAACGGCGGAGGCGCCTAACGGCGACGGAGTGAAGGGGAGAGTCAGGCCATAGGGGTTTTGGTGGTAGCAGTAATCTAACGGAGAAGGGGGGAGTTAGGCCCTTTTGAGGTGGTTTATTACCCTTTTGCGAGCACGTCGGAGTTCTGTGGAAAGGCCGAGAGAATATGATACAAGGAACGCAACGAAGATGCAAACGCAGAAAGATAGAACGGCGGAGACCGTTGCTTCGTTTACACCGAGCCCTTATCGGATCTGAATCTGTAACAATTCACCAGATTGAAAAATGGATCGAAAAAATCCCCTTTCTAACAAAAATATATTGAGATTACTTATGAAAAAAATAGATTAACTAACAGCGAAAGTCTTCACTTTGATCTTGAGCTTTTTAGGTGGGTTGTGAGAATTAATTTCAAATTATTTCTCAAGTTTTGTTGAAGAAATCTTAATTTGTGAAAAAAGTTTTATATTGCAGATTGAATGGCAACATTGAGAAATTTAATTTTACCTAAAGGGTAAAAAAGTATTTTAGCATAAAGACTATATTTATGAATTGGGTAAAATATACAGTACCCCTTGTATTATACGAAATTTGCGCGTTTCTCCCCTATATTTTAAAAATTGCGTCAGATCCCCTTCTATTAAGGTTTTGCATGCGCGAAACACCCTAAACCGCCGTCTAAGATGACGGAAGTGGGGTGCACGCGCGTGCTGTGCTGACTTTTTTTTCATTTTTTCACCCCAAAATGGCGGAAATTACTGTTTTACCCTTGAATTATGTGCAAAACTCAAATGTTATAAAAGGTGGGCAACAAGATTCGAACCTGAGTTGGAAAGGAAGGAAATGGCCGCTCAACCACTAGGCCATATGGATGGTTGTGTAATCTATTGAAGATAAATATATCTATACATCACACTGAAATAAATTAAATAGTTTAAAAATAAGTAAATAAATAAAATAAAAGGATAATATGTCAATTTACTAAAAATATAATAATTAATAATAATAATACTAATAACTTCCAATAAATCAAATTAACTTAAAATAATGAAAAAAATTAAATTAAAATAAAGTAAGATAAATTTAATGTATTAGCGTGAACTAAAATTAAATAAAGTTATAATTAAGTAAATTTTAAATGAGAAAAATAAATACAAAAATGAAATAAATAAATAAATAAAATTAAAATAAACTAATTAAAGAAAAATAAAAATAATAATTATATAAGATAATAAAGTATAAAAATTATAAAGTAAAATAAATAATAAATCAAATATCTTATTATGAAATAATAAATTAAATAAATAAAGAACTGAAATTAATATAATATAATATAATA